ACCAGAACCCCCAGGTCCCCTTCTCCTACACTGCTCCCCAGCAGGGCAGTCCCCAACCTATACTGGTACTTGGGGTTGTTCTTTCTCAGGTGCAAAACTCTACACTTGCCCTTGTTGAACTTCATAAGATTTCTCCCTGCCCAGCCCTCCAGCCTGTCCAGGTCTCTCTGAATAAAAAATGTGTCAACCACTCCTCCCAGTTTTGTGTCATCAGCAAACTTGCTGACAGTGCTCTCTAATCCCTCATCCAGGTCGCTGATGAATATATTGAACATTACTGGCCCCAGTACTGACCCCTGAGGGACTGCACTAGATACAGGCCTCCAACTAGACTGTCCCATTGACCACAACTCTCTGACTTCTTCCTTTCAACCAGTTCACAATCCACCTCACTGCCCGATCATCCAGGCCACACTTCCTCAAGTTTAGCTATGAGGATGCTGTGGGAGACGGTGTCAAATGCTTTACGGCCACCATCCATCCACCTGGTTACATCTTCATAAAAGGCTATCAGGTTGGTCAAACATGACTTCCTCTTGGCAAAGCCATGCTGACTGCTCCTAATGACCTTCTTATTCTTGATATGCCCAGAGACAACACCAGGGATAAGTTGTTCCATCACCTTTCCAGGGATGGAGGTGAGGCTGATCAATCTGTGGTTACCCAGGTCCTCCTTACTGCCCTTCTTGAAGACTGGAGTGACATTCTCTTTCCTCAAGTCTTCAGGCACCTCACCTGTTGTCCATAACTTACCAAAGATCATAGAATCATAGAACAACTCAGGTTGGAAAAGACCCTTGGGATCATCGAGTCCAACCATTAACCCTACGCTACAAGTTCACCCCTAAACCATATCACCCAACACCACATCTAAGCAATCATCTAAGATGATGGAGAGTGGCCTAGCAATGACCTCTGCCAGCTCCCTCAGCACCCGCGGGTGCATCCCATCAGGGCCCATGGATTTATGGATGTTCAGGTGTTCAAATTGATCCCTAACCCAGTCCTCCTCAACCTGGGCAAACTCCTCCTTTATCCTGACTTCCTCTGGGGCCTCAGGGGACTTTCTCCCTGCCACGTCAGCCTCCCGCTTCCCTTGTGAGAATTCTTGCCTAGGTTTGGGTCTCCCTGCTTTCCCTCTCCACAGAACCTGGGACAGAAACATTGAATCAAGAAGTGTATCAAACTTAATGCTAAATGGCTTTCTGGCCTTTCCCAGTGCTACCGAAGTGTTAAGGACGAGATCTGAAGTCTGGCACTCAATGGTGGGTGAATATAACTTAAAGAAATCCCAGAGAGAGAATCCTGTTTCTTGGGTATCTGGTGCAAACATTGTTCATAGCTCTGAATGAGCAATCTGATTTGCAGTTGTGAAATTTACTGCAAGCCAGAGAAAGCTGAGTACTTGATCCCGTTATCATCAGATGTAGCTTCCAATTGATGGTCAGTATATTTGACAGAGGAACAGGTTGACTACTATGAAAAGAACCCTGGTCTTACTGAAATAATTGAGAGTTTTCCCAGTTTTAAACTAAAAGAGAGTAGATTTAGAGTAGATATAAAGAAGAATTTTTTTTTACAATGAAGATGGTGAAATACTGGAACAGGTTTCCCAGAGAGGTGGTAGATGCCCCATCCCTAGAAACATTTAGTGTCAGACTTGATGGGCTCTAAGCAACCTGATCTAGTTAAAGATGTCCCTGCTCACTGCGGGATGGTTGGACTATATGACCTTTAAATATCCCTTCCAAGCAAAACTGTTTCTGTAATTTCCCTTTCACTGTCACTTTCCACAATTTACCATGGAAATAACTGAGGGATAAACAAGATACTTTCTCGAAGTTCAGAACTACACCATTTTAAAGCTTTTCCTTGTCATGTATCCAAAGAACTAAGCCTTTTTCTGTTAGTAATTCTGAGTTTTGAATAAATTACATTGAGCAGAGAGGGCCCAGAATTTTTTCTCAAAGCAATGTAAAAACCAGCAAACCAAGATAGTTCCGGAACTGGTAAGAGACAGTAGAATGTTATTGAAGGACTTTAGAGGATCTCTCTAGAAAATAATGTTTGTGAAAGAAAATACTGCCTGAAATAGGAGAAGAAAGACTTAAGAAATTCTTTTAAAATTTATTTTTGTTATAGACTTAAGTCTTTATTACTTAAATTATATAGGGGCATATAGCTTCTTTAATGACATGATAAGTTTTCATTTACTGAAAAGTTTTTATCTTGGATTGTCTAGCTCACTGCTTATCCTAATGCATACAATTGAATTTGATATTTTCTGTTGTTATTTTCAAGTTCTAATTCATTGACTAGCAAATCTAGATATAAACAACAGAAATCCTGTTAGCTTAATTAACTACTTTTTATTAATATAAGACTTGCTGTAACAGGATGTATGGGATTTTTTTTACTATTTGCATTGCACTGTAGCGTATTTTCATCTGACAGCTTGTTCCACTTAAGTGAGTGTGGAATGCTCACAAGCTTCACTGATGAGTTTCAGCCTGTAATACACAATCTAATGCTTGGGGCAACTAGCTCAGAAATTTTGTAATAGAAATTCCTTTAAGATAACAAAGTACTGTTTCTTTATTATTCTCGCATTGTGAGTGCCTTACTGTCATTTTCTGTTAAGTGCATTGAACTTACTGCTAGTCTTTTGCTATTCTGTTTAGCAACCTTACTGCCAGCTTATTCTAAAATTGCACTAAACCAGTGGTTCTCAAATTGTGCCCTGTGGATCACTGAGGATTGACAGTGCACTTGTTGGTAAATCACAGAGATCTCCTGGTGGCTCTTCTTCCGAGTCCCCATCCAGGTGTTCCTCTGATCAGAAACAGGAGAGTGGAGGAGACAGTCCGTGCCTTTGGTGCTCGCAGGCAAAGGATTATCTCTGCTGAGCTCCTCTTCAGTTGGTGAAAGTGTTTGAGAACCCTGTCGCTGAGCATTTGAGTTGCTTATGTTTAGACTGTGTTGCTGCTCCTTAATCATGCATGTTGCCCCTCCATTTCTGTGCAGATTGCAGCCCTGCTCCGGAAGAATCTGGCCCAGGTATGTGCGTTCACGGCTTCTGCTTCTTCTGAAAATTGCAGGTGTTACTTCATAATTAACAGCTGAACAAGTGCCTTGCTGTTAGGACTTGACCATTTTGAAATGGCAATGCTCCGCGGTATCATGTGAGCGTACTGAGAAGTTATTATTTCCTAAATAATAATGCAGGGGGGGGTATCTGGTAACTTCTCATGTCCAGGCATGGGAGAGCACTTGTTCAGAGTCTCTTTGGTTTCTCCAGTTGATGTGTTTTAGCAAACTGTTGTAGGTGACAATGATTTGAGGCCTGTTCCAAGTGTCATTGAAGTCTGTGGGAGTCTGGCATTTTAGACATGCCCTTTCATATGTGCTGCTGAGCTGGCCTTTCTGAATGAGAACTCCAGCAGAATATGGAGCCATCAAAAAGGCTGATGAAAAATCTCTTTTGAGTACACATCAAGCAGTGTTGGGCACTGCAAATGAAACCTTTCTGAATGCAGAATTTAGGAGACTTTCACCTCACTGTTAGCCTCCTGTCCGTGTACTTCCACACATTCGTGTTGCTTTTACGAGGTCTGAATAATCTGCCTCTGTAATACCACTCTCTCCCAGCTAGATGGCTGTAATTTCTCCCAATGAGTTCCATGAAGGTTCAGTCTTTGAACTGTTACAGCATGGACTCCGGAGTTTAGTGAAACCGATGGGAAATAAAGCCCTAGTGCAGGTATGACTTTAATCTTCACAAAGTATATTATTGTTCTCAGCTATCCACCACATTTTCTTCTATCACAGAGAAAATGTATTGAATAGGTAAAAGACTCCAGAGGTTTATAATTCTTGGAACATCCTTTAGTTTTTGCAAAATATGAATGTGGTGCATCAATGAGTGCTGTTTTTAAGATGAGAGTGAGGAAAAGCAGCGAGGTCACCCCAACTGGGTACCCAGACATACCCAATACTGCATCTTAAGTGGCTGAAGCTGCAGTGTAGGAAAGCACCTAATGCTTGCTTCCCATAGAAGCCAGATGTGATGTGACTGTATGCATAAGTGGATTGCCAGTTAGTGGATCAGGGCTAAGCAACTACCACTTGTTTAATAAATCTCTTTTATGGTGGCCGTGGGTCCTTGCAACCCTGTGCTAAACCAAGGCCAGCTGCAGGTGCCCAGTACATTGATTTATGGATGCTAGTGGATTTTTAATATGAAAAGACTAAAAATATCTTTCCAAGGCTTTGGAGGACCGTTATTTTATTAGTATTTTTATTGCTCTGAGAAGAGAGACTTAGGGGAAAAAAGCAAAAAATGTTTCCCACCGGACATTACATCCTTGATTTATACAGGCTTTGTGTATTACGTTCTCTTTAACAAGGCATTATTTTTTTATAACATAGTCAGTAATGTGTCATCAGAGAAGGTCTGTTACGTGAACTCATAGTCCTTCCCAGCATCCCTTCCTTGCTCCCTCCTTCCCTCTCTCCTTCTCTTCTCACCTCCCCCCCTTCTCAAAATACCACATTTCAAAGTGGCAAAATTAGAACTTATGGGGTCAAGTCTGGCCCTTATTTACCAGCCAGAGATCAATTTTAGCTGAGTGGAAACTGCAGGATTTGTCTCTTACTGTACAATATATGGCACCTAAAACAAATGACAGACATCCTGCTGGTTTGTACAATAACATTTTTAAATGGAGTAACTTGTAACGTGAACTAGAAACCTGATTAAAATGTGGGATTTTTGTCCCAGGCATACCATCCACTGGCTTGAACTATGACTCCGGCCGTTGTAAATCTGTAACAACTTCTCACATGTCCATTGTTTCAGACCATATGCCAAAGCATCCTGCCAATGATCTGCCCAGCGTGGTCTGCAAGTTCTGGTCATCTCACAGAATGTAACAGCAGAGTCCAGGGAAGATTTCACATTAGAAATGGTGCCTTGTGGTGTTTGAAGGTGCCATTGATTGATTCAATAAAAAAATACACTTTCACTAATAAAGTTCTGTTAGGAAAGACAGAAGGATGGGAAAATCCAGGTGAAAGTTGGACGCTTTTAGTCCTTTCACATTTATTTAAATGCTACCAGTGGAATGTTCCAACCTGATTTGAGCCTGGGAGTGCAATTCGTTATATTCCTATTTACTGTTAAAATTACCTATCACTGACTAAAAAAAAAAAGGAATCATGGAATCATAGAATGGCCTCGGCTGGAAGGGACCTTAGAGATCATTTAATCCAACCTCCCTGTCATGGGCAGGGGCACCTCTCAACTAGATCAAGCAACACATGGGGACCGAACGGGGATCAAACCCGCGACCTTGGTGTTATCAGTACCACGCTCTAACTGACTGAGCTAAAAGAACAAAGGGGACACCTTTGAGAAGCAGGTAGCAAAAAGCATTTCAAATTTTGCAGACTGACAAGGGCTTGGTTTTTCATGACCAAAATTTTAAACCAAGAGACTACACAGCGCAAAGAATTTTTACTTATTACCCCAGATGAGCCACTGCATTGCATGAGGGTGTTGGGAGACAAAAAAAAAGTCTAACGATTGATTTATCTTCAGGAGGGCGGGTATACCACCAGTATGCTTTATGATTACTGCAGAGAAACATCTCTCAAATGAAGTGCTGCCAGACACACTACAATTTTAAATCTTCATTGAGTTAATAACTGCATACATGTATGTATATCAAGGCAATGAGATGATGATGTGCTGGAAGATCTTTTCAGTCCTTTTTGTCATTCTCATTTGTTTATAGAAAAGCTCTTAAAATGCAGTAAGAGAAACACTGTTACTCTCATCTGTGTTTTGCTTTTTAAGTGTTCACAGGCCCATGTTATGGCATCTGGTTTATTTTGAGAGAAAATATTTAATAGAATATAAAAGACAAGCTGTAATTCCTTGCCTGTTCTTCTGACGTTTCCTGCTTTTTTATGGCAATGGAACAGAGCCAAACAACTTCCCCTCTGTGTAGTTTATTAGGTTATCTATCTACCGCATAGAACAAAAGCAAAAGGGATAGTTCTGTTAATCTTGTCAGTTTTGTTTCTGTTAGGAGACTTTCAAAGTCTTTGGCTAGTTATCAAAGAAACATTTATTATTATTAGCTCCTAGTGCTGCCTTTGAGACAAAATCCCAAACAACTTCCTTTCAGGGGCCTGAAGTTCCCCATTCATGCAGGTTCTGATCTGTATGTTGCCTTATTCCTGTGGCCAGCTGGACTGGGGGTTGTGTGTGTTCTGTTTGTGAGCTCTGATGCTTTTTTAAAGTAAAACACATTGTCCTTCCCTATAAAAAGTGTTCTTCTGTTTCAACTTTACATTAAGGAAGGCAAAATCAAAGCACTGTTCTATTTTCTTTTCATATTGCAGAGAGAATAGATTTTGGTATATAGCATCATAATTTTTCGTATGGTCATGGAAATGGGTTTTTTAAATTGGTGGTTGATAAATGATGAAAGAAGGAAAGAAAAGAAAAGAAAGTGAGCTTGTGGAGCATTTTAAGGCAGAGCAATCTCTTAAGCACAAGGAAGACACAGTGCTTGTGGTACTAAAATAGGACTTTGACAACCTGATTTCATTTCTGTGCTTCCTGTGTAGGACTTGAAGCAGTCCTACCTCATATGTTTCAGTGGAAGTCAAGCTCTGAATTCTTTCAAGGATCTGGCTAACTCCCATCTAAATCACTATATCAAATGTTTCTTGCTAGCTGGCTCTAAGCCTTCAAAGCCACTCAGCACACAGAGGACACTTAAAAGAGTACCTACAAGGTACTTGGGAGAAATCTCATTGCCAGAAATGGCTAAGCAGCTGTTCACTATTTCTGTTATATGATGGGACTCCATACTGTCTGTCCTTGTATGCACTGTGAAAGGGTGTGTTTGAACATGCACACACAGTTATATACACTTGTGTATATAGATATTCATGTTTTGGTTATGCTTTCCAAATCAACTTTTGTATAGCCTGTTCTGCACACACAGATCTAGGAGCTATTACGCGGTTGGGAAAGTCATAACAGCCTTGCAGAGTAAAATTCTCCATATTGTCCTCATGCCATAACCACTCGGTAAGACGACTTTAATTAATTACAAGCAGAAAGTAACCAACAAGCCAAAATAAAGACAGCCCTATATGCGAATTATCAACAGCTTTGACTTGCAACAGAAACTTTCTTCTTAATGCGCGTTTGTTTATTTCAGATAAAGTATTTGCAGTGCTGCTAATTTTTTCTTTTAATTTAACCAGGTGAATGGAGTGAAGCTCTTTATCCCTTGCTGACAACGCTCACAGACTGCGTAGCCATGATGAGTGACAAGGCAAAGAAAGCCATGGTCTTTTTATTAATGCAGGACAGCGCCCCGACAATAGGGCTCTGCCTGAGTCTTCAGTATCGCAGGGACGTTGTCTTCTGCCAAACTGTAAGCAAGCAAATAAGTGTGATTTGATTGCATTTTGACATGAGGCGGAGTTTAAATCAGTTATGGAAGACTACTCTTCTTGGAATTTTTACTGTTGGGCTTAACACTGTGATCTCCTCTCACAGGCTGTGCTGTCCTGTCCTTACTAGTTGCTTACATGCGTTTGACAATGTATAACTTCAGTGAGCCCTTGGATGTATATTCAGTATTTTAAAAAAAAAAAAATTATGCCAGAACTAGTGAAAATATACTGTTGTCTACAGAAACAAACTTTGCTTTCCAGTGCCACCAAATTAAGACCAGAAGTACAATGTGAAAGAAGGGGAGGGAAAAGCATGTCTGAGCAGAAAATGTACTCCCTCAGTTACTTTTTGTTGTGTTCTTCACTGAGAAGACCAACAGGACCTGCAGTACCTAAGGAGAGAAGTCCTGCTACAGGGAGAGACATGAGTGCTTTTTTTTTTTTTCTGCTATAAGTTCCCCTTCTGAGCCTGCTGATGTCTCTTTTGTCAGCCAATGACTAGCAGGTTTCTGCACTAAAAAGCCTTCCACCTTTCTTCTGCCTGCTACACTTTGGTAGCATGCGGGCTTCCCTGTGAAACCAGTATCTTGTTCATTTGTTTCAAACAGCTTATCTCTTGGACATTGTTTGATAGGGCTGTTGTCCCAAAATGCAATATCTCAGATAAATTCAATGAATTTTTCTATCCAAAACCCACTTTGTATTGCAGATAATTTTTTAACTCAATGCTTTGAATATATTTACCCATCATAAACAGACCTTTACTCCTTTTTGTTTAATTCTGTGACGGGTCATATACCCGTGTACATAACATATGGCAATCACCTGGGAAATTCCTTCGTTGACAGAGTGAATTAACACTAGTACTAATCTTAGATCTTAGTACTAGGTCTACAGGACCTTGTCCTGAATATCTCGTAACACTAGACTTTGTATCTTTGCATAAAGCAAACAGATACTGCCTTTTTAAGCTTTCTTAAAATGTCATTTAAAAAAAAATATTTTCTCCATAGTACCAAAATTCATGACCTGGAACTAGCTGTGTTGCCATTCCATCTATAATTAAAACAGTTCTCTAAGGAGATTATTTCATACGTTTTAGATCCTAATACTAGTGCTTGTGTCCAGAAAGCAAATAAATGGTAGATCAACAGTAGTCCCATTTGGGTAGAGCTTGTGAGATGAAGGTACCATGCCTAAATCTGATTTTATGAAAGTTTTGGGGTTTTGTTGGTTGGTTGTCTCTCTTCAGCTGCAAGGAAAAGAAGAGTGACATTTTAAGGGAAAAGAGCATCAGTCTGACAGATTTTATGGCACCTCTTATATGTGATATTGTTTCCGTTTGGGGCTGAAGAGCCTTTTAGCCTTGAATCATTTCACTCTCATCTGTTTTTTCTCCCACAGCTGACAGCTCTCATTTGTGGTTTCATTATCAAGCTGAGGAACTGCCTGCATGATGATGGATTTTTAAGACAACTCTACACCATTGGTTTGCTGGCGCAGTTTGAGAGCCTGCTGAGCACTTATGGTAAAAGCGCAAAGCATGTGGGTGGTATTAGCTGTTGAGTCAGCAAGTTCTGCTTTAGATTGGCTGCAGCAGAACATGAGTGTTTGGGACAATCTGCAGCTCAGCTGCAAGATGATTTTGAAAACTGAAATGCAAAACCAGATTATATCTGGAGTACTTAATTAGCTAACAACTCTGAATTTCTTTGCATTTAATTGAATTACTTCTAAAAGATAAAGTGTACTTGCCTTATAATGTCAAATGTTAAACAACAACATGCTGATAATTTTTTTAGAAAAGATATGGATTAAAATTCTGGTAAGTTGGGAGAAAACTGTGCCCAAAATTGTCTTTTTTACTTTTCTTGACCTCCTGTAATCCTACAGTGCAAAGTGAGATTGAGGAGAGAATACAGTAAGTACTTCACTATAAAGTGTTTCACTTCTATTCCCCCTCATCCATAGAACTTCTTTATGAGAGTGCTGGTGTACAGTTGTCATCAAATTGATAAAGGGAGGTTGGATGGAGCAAGTGATAATTGTGATTCACTGTTTCCTCCTTGATTTAGGTGAGGAGTTGGCAATGCTGGAGGACATGAGTTTGGGAATTATGGACTTGAGGAATGTAACCTTTAAAGTAACTCAGGCGACATCGAATACATCGACTGACATGCTGCCAGTCATCACTGGAAATCGGTAAAAAAACCAACGGGGGGTGTGGAGAGCAGGAACTGAGGTGGGACTTGCAAACAGGAGAAGCAGTGATATTGCACTTGAAATGAATGATGAGCTTTTGTAGTGTGATGGTTTTCTCCTCAGAACTTCATATAAATGTTTTGAAGTGGACTTCCAAATTTTTACTGATGTTTACAGAGAACTAAGCTGAAAAGGGATATATGCCAAGGCTCAAACCATGGCAGTGTTTTTTTATGAATAAATATCATCTTGCCTAGCCTTCCATGATCATATAAGCCAGAAGTATTCAATCTTTTCTTAAGCACCTGTGGTGTTTTTTAAATTTCAGACTAACTTTTGAGTCTGATCTCAGTGTCTGAAATTCCCTGCTGTTGGTCAGTTGGTCAATGCTTTACTGTGTGCCCCTGAGTGATGGGCTGCTGTTAGCACAGTAGGACACGGAACCTGTATCAAGCGGTTGATGGGCTGCTGCTGAGGTGAGGCCTGCCTAAGATCAATTTCCAAACTGTTAGGGCCAAGCTGGCTTTAACTTACAGATGCTTGTGAAACACCAGACTGCTGCTCATTTTGGCCACTTGCCTGAAAAACGCTATTTTCAAGTTTGAGCTTAAAAAGCAATTTTTGTTTCAAAAGCCTGAAGTAACTAAAACTCACATCCTCACGTAAAGTGGAGTGGGAGTGATCTGTTACTTTTCTTTTTTTAATCTCTAGCTTTATTACAATGGGAAGTGTTTAGAATAGAGTTATGCTTCAGTTTGAATGCCTCAGCCTCCTTACCAGCTGGCCTTACACTAGTTTCTGACACAGCTAATGGGCCCTCACGTAGAGTTCTTGCCCAGATGGAGCCAGCTGACAGATGGAGATGAAGCTGTGGCCGGACAGAGTCTTCATTGAAGTCACTGTTTTATTGTTTCTGTACTTCAGAGTCTTCAGAGTCTTTTAGTTTTGAATCTGATTTCTGGAGGAAGTAAGGCTTACTTGATTACAGTGTGCTGTAGCAAGCTCCACTGGAGCTTTGCCCAGCTTCATCCACATCTGAAAAAGAGCTAGAATTCTCAAAGATAAAAACAGTTAGAGGAACTTTGTTAAGTTAAAGTTCACATGCGATAAAAATGCCCTGGCTGAAGGAGGTCTCCAATACAGTCATGTATGCTGCGGAAATTGCTGAGACCTGTGGAAATGGCTGAGAGCTGGCAGAAAAATAATTTCAAAGAAAATCTTCAGCTGAAACTTGCCGTCAGCTATAGGACACTAATCAGCAGGAAACCAGTCTTCATTAGTTTCAGGTCTGATAATGTTGCTTATTATTTTGCTATCTAAATTTTGCTTAAGAGAGAGAAGAAAGAAATCATGCCTATTTATTTTGGTGCAAGCTTTTGAAAGCTTAGCATTTAGAGGTGAAGATAGGTTTTTTGCTTTCAGGCATAGCATAAGATTTGTATGTCCATCCAATGTAAATGTGGGGCAGACTGGTTTTAATTACCTTATTACATACTTCTCAGAGCTCTTTTGCTATGCTTGAGAGTATGTACCATACTTGAGAGTTTTGCACTGCAAAGACCTGGATGTAACACCAAGGTATTGCTGCTGATAGGTTAACACACAGCATGTAGACCACAGTAACTTGTGTCTTGGCAGTTTCAACATACGGTAGTGTGACATACCTTAGCATTGACATACCTTAGCATTGACTGCAAGGGACCGATAAGTTGCATTACCTCATCTCTGCCATGAGATAAAGCATACACAGTGTGGTTTTTTCTGTAGCTCAGCTGACCCAAGGTAACCTGTTGTGCTTCAGGAACAGCTTGTAGGCCTGAGTTGTAAGTTTCTGTATCAGCACTTTTGTTAGTTCCCCCTTAGATTTATGCTTGGGTCACTACTATCACAACCTCTATTTTTCTGCTCAGGAATGTCAGTACTACTCACTGTATCTAAAATGTATCCTTTTATGCACGTACATCATCACGAGCCTTTATCACTCTAAAATCATATATCTTGATGAGATGGGGATATGCCAAAATTTGACTTTTTCTGTCCAAGTCGTACAAGAGCTGCAGTATGAATGAGCAGAGCAAAATCTGCCTTTGTCAGGAAATTGGTAGATTTGATCGAAGTGTCCATGGGGATGTGCCATCAACATTACAGGTTGCTGCAGGTTTGTTTTTGAACTAGAATAGCTTTTCTGATTAGGAGCAAGCTGTGCCAGTTCCTTAAAGTCCTTAGTTGTGACTGATACTTATTTTTTAATACTCATATGTTCTGGATATTATCCCTCTTTACATAAATAGCGCATTCTCAGAATATAGCTTTTTGACCTTCATGTCTAATAGCTCTTTGTTTATTTGCAGTGATGGATTTAACGTGAGGATCCCTTTGCCAAGCGCCTTGTTTGATTTGTTGCCTCGAGAGATTCAAAGCGGCATGTTGCTGAGAGTTCAGCCTGTTCTTTTCAATGTAGGAATCAATGAGCAGCAAACCCTGGCAGAGAAGTATGTATTCAGTCATGCGAGCTCAACCTTAATGGCAGTTCAGCAATCTCCTGTTCTGATGGAAGTATGTCTCTATGAAGTTCCACTGTTGCATTACTAACAGTGATTCAGTTTCCCCAACACACCAAAAAAAAAGGAATACTAAATGAAGTTGTCAAATGGAAAACAAACACAAGGAGGTCTTTCTTTATATGCCATATAGCTGTGGAGCTCCTTACCTCATGGATTAGAGTTTAGTGCAGCTGTATGAGGTTCAGAATGGCAGAATCACAGAACTGATGAGGCTGGAAAAGACCTCCAAGGTCAAGTCCAGCCTATGACCCAACACTACCACATGGGCTAGACCACAGCACTAAGTGCTACATCCAGCCTCTCCTTAAACACCTCCAGGGACGGTGACTCCACCACTTCCCTGGGCAGTGCATCCCAGTGCCTAAGCACCCTCTCCGTGAGGAAGAGCTTCCTGAGATCCAACCTAAACCTGCTCTGACACAGTTTCAGGCTGTGCCCTCTCGTCCTGTCACTGGTTGCCTGGGAGAAGAGCCCGACCCCCACCTGACTACACCCTCCCTTCAGGCAGTTGTAGAGAGTGATAAGGTCCCTCCTGAGTCTCTTCTTCTCCAGGCTAAACACCCCCAGCTCCCTCAGCCTCTCCTCACAGGACTTTCCCCCCAGTCCCTTCACCAGCCTCGTTGCTCTCCTCTGGACCCGCTCCAGCCTCTCAGTGTCTTTCTTGCAGTGAGGGGCCCAGCCCTGCACACAGGGCTCGAGGGGAGGCCTCACCAGTGCTGAGCACAGGGGCAGAATCACACCCCTGCTCCTGCTGGCCACACTGTTCCTGATAAAGGTCAGGATGCCATTGGCCTTCCAGGCCACACCCTTCCTGGGCACACTGCTGGCTTATGTTCAGCCAGTTGTCAACCATTAGTGGATTGTCAACCAGAAATGGATTTACAGAAGAGGAAATCTACCATGGGCTATTTAACCCAGAGATCCTGCTTGTGACTCAAGACCTCTGAGAGTGACAGATTGCTAGAGGCTGAGAGATCATGCCGAGTATTTCTGTGTGTTTGCCTTCTTGGTTTTGCACTCCCCTGGACTCCCTCTTCTAGCTGCTGTCAAAACCCAAGATAATGAACTAGATGGACCTTCATTTTTAACATATCCTTGTCAAGCTTATGTAATACACCGTTGTTCTTGTAAAGCTGAAAAATATAAATACATACTTATATCTGTTAGGGAGACTGTTCAGTTTTGGAAAAGCGACCAGAGCTTCCCTCTGTTATGGCCGTATCCTGTAAAGAAAACGTTGTGAGAGCACGACTCTAGTGGAGAACTCCAGTGAAGTCAGGCACAGGGATGTTGTGACAGTGGCCTTGGTACCGGCATGGAGCATGTAGTGTGATTGTGGACAACTAGAGAAAGTCTAATAAGGCATTGCAGCAGTTACTATTGTCCACTGTTGCCTATAAAGGGAGCCCAAGCACAGTTACAGTTGTCAACACTGCGTGTGTGTATCCATGTCTGTAGATATAGTTAGATGAGGTGAATCATGGCTTTGTTGACAGTATTTATTACATTCATGGTTTATTATTCCTAGATCTGTATTTCTCATTTACATAACTGAAGTCAAAGTTCTCAATCCTATCTGCTTATGTTATGGTTGTCGTAAGCGTATGAACTAAACTAGTAAATCATTATAAAAAGTTCAAATTTAGGCAAAATGATTTACCAAATGTGTTTAATATTGAAAAACAGACAAGTCAAAGAATTTTAAATACTATTTTCTACAAGACTTTTCTTTCACCTTCCTTCCCACTTTTCCCCTCACACTCATATCTTCTTTTTCTACAATTAATCACTACAACACTTCTCTGTCACACTTTACTCTGCATTTGAATGGTTAGGAATTTCATAGGATGAATCTTTAAACAGTTCTCTGGTAGTCATATTGCCAAGTGCACTCATTTTCAAGAAGAGGAGAAACCTCTTACCTTGGGATTAACTGTTCCCTCTTTCACCTTTTAAAGGTTTGGAGACACCTCACTGCAAGAAATAATTAACATGGAAAGTTTGGTGCGGTTGAATTCGTATTTCGAGCAGTTCAAGGAAGTTTTGCCTGATGATTGTAAGTATTGGGCAATTAATAGGAAATTTGGTTAAACAGCACACTTCAGGCTGATTTTTTCATTTGTTTGCTTCATGTCGTTTAAATGTTGATGATATGCCAGCACTGGTAACCTCCAAGAAATGATGCAACTCTATTTTAATACATTAGTACTAAGTGGAGGAGATTCAGGAGGTTTAAAGGTCATTCTGATTAACATTCCATCTTTTAATTTATGTTACTTTACATCTCTTTCTCAGTGGCATTATTTACTGTATAAACAGGGAGCTAGGCAGTTAGATTGCCATGAGGGGAAGGCGTAAGTGACAGGTTATAGCAGCAGCACTTCTATATGCAGGTTTTGGATACGTATTCTGCACTTAGAGAACAGCTGCCAGTTTTTAGGAATTTAATCACTTTCCCTCTGCCTATCCTTTGGCACTTTCCTATAATTGTTGCATCTGCAGCCAGCAACACAGAAATCTAGCACCTAGAAGTGAGACAGTAGCTAAAAGCTTGAATTTTACTGGTTATATTAGGAAAATTTCTTGCTTGTTACTGTTTTTTGGGAGGCAGTGGCATAAATGTTTATATGTGAGCATTAAAATGGCAAAAGTTCATTGATTCATCATTATTAATATCAAACCTCTTGTAAGCTAATATCCTCAGTCCCACAATTGCAATTTTGTTGCAGAAATATGAATACAGCAACATGCAACAGGATAGGAAGAATTCTGTGGAAGTACAGTAGTGTACTTTAAGTACAATAAGAGCAGAAGCTATTTCCCTCTTTCTGCACATTCATAATTGTGCATAATTAATTATTTGAAATTTTAGCTGCAAAATTTAGATTTTTATTATATAGCAGTCCAAGTCATAAGACTTTCTTGTAAAGTCCAAAAGTTAATTAATTTAAAGTGATTTCTGTTCTGCTTTTTTCCCCGTTACTTCATGTCTCTGTCTAGTCTTCCATAATAATAGTTCCCATTCAGCTTCTTTCTCTCCTCTTTGATTTTGCTTGCTTTTTTTTCCACTTCAGATTCTTCTCTCTTCCCCAAACCTCTTATGTTGATCCCGTCATCATTTAGCTTTTGCCTTTTTTCCTGAAACTTTCTTTTTAATCCTGCAATCTGTTTTCTGTCATGTCATCTGTTCCTTCTCTTTTCATGTTTTCTGAACTTTGTTTTAACTTTATTCTCCTCTGTTTTTTAAAAAGCGCTGGCTCCATGACCTTGAGTTTCTCATTTATCAGTTACACACCTTATACCAGAGGTTTTTCTTTGAGTGATTTGAACTTGTGGATAAGGCTGCTGTGTAGTGTTTGACAGGTAGCATTAACAGAATCATAGAATCATAGAATGTGTGGGGCTGCAAGGGACCTTTAAAGGTCATCTAGTCCAACCTCCCCCTGCAGTGAGCAGGGATGTCTTCAACTAGATCAGGTTGCTCAGAGCCACATCAAGCCTGACCTTGAATGCCTCCAGGGCTGGAGCCTCTATCACCTCTCTGGGCAACCTTAACAGTGAAAGAAAACAAAATAATCTCGTGTCCACTTGCCTTTCCTCCCTTACTCTGGTTACTTGTCACTTAACATTGATCCCTGCTACATGAAATGGATACTACAAAAGGGGAAAGTCTGCCCTCTGGGAAAACTTCCTTCTGCTTCACTGTTGGGCCTGGGTAAAAGCAGACATGGTCTCCAGAAGAATGCTGTGGAAAATGGGGTCAATACTAAACAGTCCAGGTAAACAAGCCTTTCCCTCATCTACTAATTGAGTCATGTTGTCAAAGAAGGAGATCAGATTAGTCTAACATACTATTTGCTGTGAGAAGATATGTGATGCAAAAATAAAACCTCTACTCCACTCTCGTGAGACCCTGCCTAGAGTACTGCGTCCAGTTCTGGAGCCCACAGTACCTACCAGAAAGGTATGGGCGTGCTGGAGCGTGTCCAGAGAAGGGCCACGAGGATCATCAGAGGGCTGGAGCACCTCTCCTGTGAAGACAGACTGAGAGAGTTGGGGTTGTTCAGTCTGCAGAAAAGAAGGCTCCGAGGAGATCTTATTGTGGCCTTCCAGTATCCTAAGGGGGCCTACAAAAAAGCTGGTGAGAGGCTTTTTAGGATGTTGAGTAGTGATAGGAATAGAGGGAATGGATTAAAGCTAGAGATGGATTGATTCAGATTGGACATTAGGAAGAAGTTCTTCCCCATGAGGGTGGTGAGACACTGGCACAGGTTGCCCAGAGAGGTGGTGGAAGCCCCATCCCTGGAAGTTTTTAAGGCCAGGCTGGATGGGGCTCTGGGCAGCCTGATCTAGTGGGAGATGTCCCTGCCCATGGTGGAGGGGTTGGAACTAGATGATCTTTAAGGTCCCTTCCAACCCTGACAGTTCTACGATTCTATATCACTCATGAAGGGTTCTTTTTGTCACATAGTCAGTTTTTAACAGTGCATATCCCCTTATTTATCCAGTCACAACTTTAGTTGGTGTGCTCTGTAGTTACTCTTTTTAAAATAAAAAGGTGACCTATTTAATAATTGTCATTGATCGTCTTGTCCCTTCCAGTCTAGGCCATTCTATGATTCTATGATTTGTCTCCACTTAGTGAAATACCAATAAACAGGTCGTGGCAGTGTGGTGTCTTGTTGGAGAGGGTGTTTCTTGTAACTAAGAACTGGCCAGCTTGCAAACTTATAATAGAAAATATGAGCAAAATATAAAATAACTTCAGAGTTTCTTTGCAGAAGTCATGCAGAGTCATCACCTCTGAGGGACGATAATACAGGCAGTTACCTGTTAGTATAGAGTTCTGAACAGTGTGTGAAAGCAAGTGCATCTGTGACACGCAAACCAAGATACTATACCAATTTTGCTCCCTTTGTTCTCTCTGTTATTATACTGATAGCAGATTCTGAGCCCCTGAAGTTTTAAATAACCTGAATGCGTATTTCCAGTTGAGTTTAATTAAACTTGAATTTGTTTCGTTGGTGGAACTAAGCAATTAAGTATTGAATTAATTTTTGTAAGCTTTGATAGTTTCAAGAAAACATGGTGGTGATTGCAAAAGGTACATAGGAACACTTTCCAGATATCTTTGTAAAAGCATTGAATACAAATAAATAGTGGAGTCGGCTTTGTTTCTTTTATAGGTCTACCTCGATCTCGTAGTCAGACGTGCCTGCCTGAACTGTTAAGATTTCTGGGACAAAATGTACATGCAAGAAAAAATAAGAATGTCGATATCCTTTGGCAAGCTGCTGAGGTATTTATTAACCCAAGCATCTCTGCCTAATTAGGTTATTTCCTGTGTGCATATGTATTTTTCCCTTTTTAGTTACCGATAAGTTTGAATTTCGTTTGCTTGCATGTAGCTTGGCAATGCTGCCAGATCAAACCTCCTTTAGAATGAGACACAGGGGAGATAAAACGCATTTTCCACATCACTATTTTCCTACAACTCATGCAATGAAGTTCTGCCCCCTCAAAGATGACAACTTTTCACATCAAAGTCCCACACAACATTTGTGTCTCTCTACAGAGAAGTACAGGTGTGTTTTCTGACAGAAGGTTATACATGAGGAAGGAATGATGACTTTTACATCCCATTTCTAGATATGCCGCAGACTAAATGGTGTTCGCTTTACGAGCTGTAAAAGTGCCAAGGACAGGACTGCCATGTCAGTCACCCTAGAGCAGTGTTTGATCCTACAGCATGAACATGGAATGGCCCCACAGGTCTTCACCCAAGCTCTGGAGTGCATGAGGAGGTAAGAGTTTGACTGCGTCACTTATTCCTAAATGAGGAACCATGCAAACTGCAGAGGAGCAGTGGTCTCTGTTTCTGTCAAAAGGAGAAAACAAAGTGAAATGAAGTCAGAAAACTGCAAAACTGCTAGAATTCATCCCTCCCTTGCATGTGTTAGTGAGTTGCATATGCTAAAGCTGGTTGTTACCAGCTTTGCATCGGATGGGCTTTAGTTTTCAGTAGTGAAATGTGAATTTTCAGAGAAGCATGAAAAAACATGTTTTCAATTCATGCTGAGCTTACAGAACAGGAAACTGGTGCTTCTTTGAAAGTTGTTTGAATGGTGAAGTTACCTAACTGTCATAGCACTGGGTTTCTTAGTTCTAGATCAGGCAGATTTCTCAGGGATGACCTGTCTTTTGTTCTTGGAAACACAGACACCTGCAGTTTGCACTGGTTTGCCACCTGTATCCTTTAGCAGTGAGACACTGCTCACTGGGTGAAATGTCAGTATGAGTGTTTCACAATACAGCAACCAAATTTCATCACAATGTGTCAGTGTGCTGTTGTCGTATCAATATAATGATGTTCTGTATTTTGAAGCAGCAGAGATGTTTGCAGAATTAAATACTGTATGAAAAAAAAAAAGAAAATCTGTTTACTGTTGTTCAATGCCTTGTTTCAAGCACTGCTGGAAAACTCTGTAGCTCACATACCAAAAGAAAGGATAAGAAATCTAGCTTTAGTCTTTATCAATGTAGTTCAACAATGCTGTTCAGTCCTGTTTTTCAACATTCACTCCTACTGAATGTACTGTACTGTGTGTCTTCTCACCAAATTTTCTAGAGTGTTCAATTCTCTTATCCTTTCTGTATGTTTTTGCTGTTTGACCCTTTCTTACTCTTCAGTTACCTAGAAGAAAAATGTCTTGTATAACAACACTTGCAGCCTCTTACACTCATAATTTGGGATTTATATCTACGTGTCGTTGGATGTAACTGGAGTTTTTTGGTTTTACATTTTTGCTACACTTTTTGCTGCATTGTTACGGAGTTAGTATGGTACATGAAAACTGCATTTAGAGATTAATTAATCCATATTAGAAGCAAAACTTAGAATAGCTTTGTGAGGGAGAAGTTATTAACTTAAAACAGAGCTAAGCAGCTCTCAGATATCTTTATTTAAATTATGCAACTTGTCAACTGAGACATCTGGCAAAAAAAAAGGTGTGTTGCACAGTTGTTTGTTTACTAAGAATAAAAACTGAATGAGTGTAATATTAGGATTCTTGTTACTTTCTTTAAATTAGATACTGAGTTAATTTTTTTTTAATACAGTCATCAACACTTTGGAGACAGAGGTTAATAACATTATTTTGGAACTTCAGACTATCAATTTAATATAACACAGGATGAGATAAGATATTGACCCAAGAAATGCAATGCTTTATGTTAACCTACACAGGAATATTGAAAGACGGCCAATTTAATCAAACTCTTCAGCTCTTGTTCTAGCAATATCAGGGACTTGCTGTGACAGGTGAAGGGCGTGACTTTCTCTTCTTCTGTTAAATCTTTGACTAAGAGAGATTGTGCAGAAAAAATACTAATTAGTCCTGAGGGAATACTAAGATTAGACCATTTTGCAGGCCAGCCACTCTTTCTTCCTCACATTTCATTGCTCTTTGGGGAAGGTGGTTGTGTTTTTAAAATTATTTGCCAATTCTGTGTAGGAACAATGGCACAGAATTAACAAAGCTTAATGAGAGACATAGGATTACAGAACAAATATATAGGAGTCTAACTCCACCCAAACCCATTTCAGCCTGGACAGGTTGACCTGACCTAGATGACGGGCATAGGGAATCAAAGGATAGCAAATTACTTCCAGGACATTCACAAAACTGGCTTTTTCTTTTAGCTTGGAGCTTTTGTTTGTGTAACTGTACTAGAAAAGGAAGGTTTGGATCAGTCTTGAAAACTTCTGAAGTTTCTAGGGCAATTGGGAGGACAGGGAAGAAGTGCTGTTAAGTTGTGGGGCTCAAAGAAGGTATTTCTGCTCTTTTCTGCTGGTAATTTTCCAGAGAAGAAAAGCATCCTTGCTTACACTGTTCTTGAAATATTAAGAAAACAACCTCTTCCATGTGATGTTGGTCTTCAGAAGTGTTAGTTCCCACTTCCTCATCCTCAGTGACTTCCTTTCTTTACTAATCTTGTGGTAATTACGTATCTGTGACAATTATGTTCAGTGAGCATGGACAGCAGGGAGAAAACACTGCTCCTTGTAGGTTCCTGAAGAAATTCATGGGTAGAGGTTGTGGCTTTCACCTTAGAAACAAACCCCCTGTGAGAATAAACTCACTTTTCTGTAAATAAGTCATAGCTTTTCCAGTCCCAGATCAAATACATGGTAACTCATAGCCTACAAATAGTAACACCGTGACGTAGATGTCTGGAAGTCCAAGCTACAGAGGATATGACAACCTGGCCAGTAAAGGCAGCTCCAGTGTCAAAGTCCAACTGGATCACGTAGCTTCTTGATCCAGTGCCGTCACTCCCCACTAGACCTGTGACTCCCTGCCCTCCCTCCACCTACCTGGTTACTGTCCTGTCAGATATACCAGTGAAACTGTTTGTGTGAATATGCTCTAATCCAGTTTCAGTCAAAATCAGTCTGAGTGGCAAAATCCTTTTTTAAGGTAGCCCACCTCATCTTCATTAAACCAATTAAGAAGTTGCTACACAAGAAGTTTAGGCAACAGAGAAGAGTCTCTGATAGGGGCTCTTGAAATGCAGCTGGAAATGGGGTGAGGGAAATAACATCTTGCTGTCATGGTGCTGACTAAAAAGACTACATAACAACACCCTGATGGTCATGACCACTCACTATGAACAGCTGTGATAAAGAGCTTATTTAGATTTCTTCACTGGTTGACCTACTTTAAGAATAAGATTGTGGTGTGTTGTCCTAGGCCAGCTGCCAGATGCCCACCCAGCTGCTCTCTCACTCCCCCTCCTCAACACGGCAGGGGGAGAAAATATGATGAAAAAGCTCGTGGGTTGAGATAAAGACAGGGAGATCACTTCTCAGTTACTGTTACAGGCAAAACAGACTTGACTTAGAGAAAAGTAATTTATTGGAAATAGGTTTGTATAGTAGGAAATAAAGACAAAAATTAAAACAACCCCTTTTATCCCAGGCCCAAGTACTTCACTCCTTTATTCCCATCTCCTCTGCCTCCTCCCTACCATGAGCAGTGCTCAGGGGATGGGGAACAGGGAGTTGCAGTCAGTCAGTAGCAGCTCCTCTCTGCTGCTCCTTCCTCCTTGCATTCTTCCCCACTCAAGTGTGGTCCTTCCTAGAGGTTGCGCTCCGTCAGGATAAACCTGCTCCTGCATGGGCTTTCCACAGGCTTCAGTCTCCTTCAGGAAATATCCCTCAGTTTCACCATAGAGTCCTCCACAGGCAATAGTGTGGATATCTGCTTCACTGTGGTCATCTCTGTGGCTTCAGGGGAATCCCTGCAGCCTGTGGTACCTGTGGCACCTCCTCCCCTCCTTCCCTGACTTTGGTGCTCACAGGGCTGTTATTTACATCTTTTACCTTCGCTCCTCACTGCCATGCAGTGTTTTGCTTCATCTTACCCTTTGCTTCTTCTTACTCTTT